TGTTTACGTATTGTTTGATGAGAGACATGCAATTTCAGGGCCATTTCACGAGTGTGTTACCTTGGGCTAGACTCAACAAGCGTCTTCAGAGCATCAATATCAATTCCAACATACTAGCCCCTACCGTCACAGTTTTTAAGGAAAAGTCACCTGAACAAAATTTGCTGAACCATCGTTGACACTTACGAACGTTCAAAACATTTCCATAAACTTCTTTGATATTCTTTATGGCTACAGAGGCATTGTTTCCCTTCTTGTATTCAAACAGCATTATATGCCGATTGTGTGTCTCGTTGTGTGCTGTCACTATAAGGGATTAGAGTATACTAAACTTTACACATTATATAGGCTACACTCGTGTGACATTTAGGCACTTCATTTAACTATTATACGTGATGTACGTTTTTTTTTGGGGGGGGGGGTAATTAAAGTGTTCCAAAACTCTTGATGACCTAATAAATATAAACATTTAATTTAATATTAACATGTTAATCTCAGACTATATTGTTTGGAGGAAGCTATCATTAAAATCATCTGTTCCAGTAAAGTCTTGTGACTCGATGACTAATTTAAGTCATTTGTCTTATGTCATATGACATGTCATTAAATGCTGAATGGACATAAGTTGTGCCACGATGATTTAGTGGCAATATTGTACAACAACAGGAAATGAACGAGTGCTAAGAGTAAATACAATATGACAATTACATAAATCAATTTTAATCTTCATTAATTCATTGCATGACTTCAAACAGACTATGATTCAATAAGCCTACATCGAAATATAAAACACAATAATCATAAATAAATAATGCTAAACTTTGAAATAATAAACTCTTAACATACCATATTGAGACCTTTTGCGATCAAGATCAGCAAGTATCTTGTTATCCTGTTCTAGTTTGACCATAAGCTGCTCGAGCTCTCGCCGAGTAACAGATGATCCTTATCATAACAAAATAACAGTTACAAGTGCAAGTAATAAAAATATATAATAAAAGGAACAAGTGATTAAAACTTTAAAGTCGCATAACATGTGGTTATTTTAATTCATAAACAAAAATTTATAATCCGATAGTGTAAAGTGAGCTGCACGTTTCCCAAGTGATTTACAACTTATAATGGTATGAACAGTAGTTAGACATGGTTCAAAGGGCAATAAAACATCAACATTTAATTATAAATAGATGTATACTGTTATGAGTTTAAAGTTACTTAGGACAAATGAATGTAGTTTCATGTTACATTTGAAGTGATTCTAGAAAAAAAAACAGTGTAATTTAGATTTATCTCGATTTTTTATTTTTTTTTGAGTGATTACAAGGTTGGTCAAATTGACCAACCTGTATAAGGTTAGGGTAGAGAAAATCACAGATAAAATATAAAGTTTTAATGAAAACAAATATTTGAAATGTATTTAGAGGTTTTAGAGATTACACAAATGAAATTTGAGATTTTTGAGAGGAAGAAAAGTATTTTTAAGCTTAACATAAAAATCACTTTGCACACAGACTATTCAAAACAAATACTCCACATATTCATGGACAAACCTTTTTTTTTTAGTTTATTAAAAATACTTCACTAAAAACATGATTTTTATGTGAAAGACTTTGCAAGAAGATATATACAATATATTAAAAGTTAGTCGTATCAAGTCTATAAAGACTTTGAATGAGTACAAAGAAGCCACGTGGTCGGTCAAACTGACCAAGCCCATATTGAGAAAGTTAAACCCAAGCAGAAGCTGCCAGCATCCGGCTGAAAATCCTGATTTACCCATTTGATGGTGGCAGCATCTGGTAACATTTATGTTTCTGTGGCTGAAAACTAATCCAAACCATGTTATTATCTGCCTTTTATAAATAGACTGGAAATTTTATAAGGAATCGTGATAATTATTAGGACATCATGAAAATAATTCTGGCAAAAGTCACAAAAAAATTACAGGTTTAAATAAGCTAAAAATACTCATTGTTTAGTTATCAAATTTAAAAATATTAATCAGCTTAATGTAAAAAATAATTATAGTTGCATTTTAAGAAACAGTTCTACAGTCCATAAGATGTTTTTATTATATTCCCTTTACATATATAATGTTAATGCCAGTAAGCTTTTTACAAAAGCAAAAACTGTTACCCCCATCGAATGACTAAGAAACCTGCTAAATTAAATAGACAATAATAGTTTGATCAAACATAATTCTCTTGTATGTACACGAATACACCTAATGACCACAGTTCTATGAAAATTGGGGCTTAATTGATACTGTATACTACCTTAAAGTTGTGTATCCCCAAGGCTTAATCAATGAACAATTTAACCAAGCTATAGTTTGGAGCTCCCCCAAAACAGAAGCCCCTCAATGATCAATAAAACTTTTCTAGTAGTCAATGACTACAATTTCTGTTCATAATTCATAAGTTCTGTTGCCTTATCCTTTCATGAACAGACCAGTTTCAAGTTACTATCTATAAACAGACAAATCAAGTATAAAGCTGTTCTTTTAAAAGTTATATATTGTATATGAATAAATATTTTGTGATACATCTGCACTGTTTTTGTTTGTTTGATACGGAATGTTAAAAATGTAACTAATATTTATATATCTATAATTCTATAATACATATAGACTCTTGTTCTATCTATAGGGACCCTTGTTCTAGTTTAATCCTTCCAAGAGGTTAATCTGACCATGTTATCAACTTAATTTATTGTTTCCAAAAGAGACTCAAAACTGGAACGCTTTTGAATAGTTGACTTTTCTTCTTCTCGTTTGGAAATATTACAACTTTTGTAGGTGATCCTGTGTGTGCTAACTACTTAACCTGAACTTAATGTATTGATATGAAATAAGCAATTTCATTAGAAGTAAAAGTTCAATGCACTAATAACCTTTTCAAAAGATAAGAATGATCGAAGTATTCTTATAGTACTTTGTGTCAGAACTCTACAACAGTGGAAAAGTCAGTTCAGTACAAAATTACAGAAACTCGTATACTTACTCTTGATTCCCCTGTACCGAGCCAGCTGTGAATTCATTTGTTTTGATCTCTGGGGTTCGAGCAGGAGTTGGTCGATGGCAGGAGAGGAGAAAGAAGGCTCTATACACACATAGCAAATCATAAAAGTACATATTACAATGATGAAGAAGGAAACCACATGTTAAAATGTCAGCTAATTAGGTGTCATTGACAACAAATTTTTGTATCAAACATGGGTAAAGATATTACACACCAAGTATGCAAAGTAGCAGATATTCCCACGCTACAAAGTGAAATAGATTTACAGACTAGATGATATACAATATTTTCATAGAAATTACACAAGAATTTTGTAGCATGGCAGACATTCTCGGTTGCATGTTGGGTGCCAAAGATCTTGGTTTTTCACTTTCCTACTTAGTAAGGAATGGATTTTGACCTTTGACATATTATTGTAGCAGTGACTTTATGTTTTTTTTCCAATTAGATTCAGAAGTTTTAATCATTTGAATTTACAAATGCTCTTTGCAAGTTGGCAAAAATTCAAAACAAAACATCACACTCAGCCTACTGGTCATTATTGACACTACCGTTCAAAGTTAATTTTCATGACCGACTACTGAAGCACTTTCTGTCTGAAGCTGTGGCTAGTCACTTATAACATACACTATGTTTTGACTATTATTAACTTTCAACAATCTGATGTTATGTTACACTTTACAGCCTAAAGAGAAACATAAAAAAATATGCACCCTGCATAATAAATGTGAAGAAACAATTGTTGATAATGATATTAAAAGTAAAGCTTGGCAGAAGGCAAATTAGTAATAAAACAGAGCAATATACAATCCAATATGTGAACTGAATTACTGGTCTAATGTAACAAATTTTTAAAAGTTCTAAACTCAGATCTACAGACTACTACAGCTGTATTATATGACAGACTATGGTTAAAAATAGATTATATACTCTAAGCCTACAAGTGACTATTGCATGTACATTTTAACCTCCATCTTATGATTTTAAAATCTTAACATAACATAATGTTTTGGGAGAATATCGGGCCTATTGGTCCAGATCTACAGACTACTACAGCTGTATTATATGACAAACTATGGTTAAAAATAGATTATATACTCTAAGCCTACAAGTGACTATTGCGTGTACATTTTAACCTCTATCTTATGATTTTAAAATTTAACATAACATAATGGTTTGGGAGAATATCGGACCTATTGGTCCATCTCGGTTGTTCCATCCTCTAAACCAAACTAAAACTATTAATAAATAAATTTAAAAAACAAAATTTTAAAGCTAGCCCTTATCATTCATACACTTATCAAGCTTTCTCTTAAACCCGCTTAAATTTACTGCCTCCACAACATTCAATGTTGATGCATCATCTTTTTTTCATGCTTGATGGTGAGAATAGTAGGACCAGGGGACACAAATATAAATTTGGACAGGGTAGGAGTCATCTTCAGCTAAGACAGTTTTATTTTTCTAACAGGGTGGTTGGCCTTTGGAATGGATTGGTTGCCTTCACCAATTCCATTTATAATCTTAAACACCTCAATCAGATCCCCTCTAACCCTTCTTTTTTCAAAAGAAAACAGTTTCAGAGATTTCAATCCCTCCTCATATGATAACCCCCTCAATCCCAGGCACCATTCTAGTAACCCTCCTCTAAACCCTTTCCAACAAATCAATGTCCTTCCTAAGGTAAGGAGCCCAAGACTGAACCCAATACTCCAAATGTGGCCTAACCAGTGGCCTATACAAT